TAAAAACTGATTTTAATTCGTTAATATGTCTACTTAAGATCGGTCAGTTCAGTTTTCCCAATGTCATCTCCCTAACAACTATAAATATAGTTTGTATGTTTAGAAATTTTGGATTTTTCAAACGTTGATTATTCGAAATTTAAATACAAAATCTTAAAATATGGACTGACCGATCTCAAATAAACTTTATAATGAATTTAAATCAGTTTTCTGAAATATTAGGTACCGCATTATTAGGTCGATTGATATGAATGTAACTCCGAGGTTGGTKACTTCACATGCGCGTGCGGGTAACCTTCGCTATTTCTTTTACACACAGTTGTTACACAAATATATATATTATATTATATGTTATCAGTGTTATCACACATCAAATTCAGATACGTGTTGTCACTATAATCAATTTTTTGGGATTATCATTTTGTTTACGGGAAATATAGTCAATGAAACATGTGCGCAAAGAGATTCAAAATATTTTGATAACATAAAAAAAAAATCGAAAATTTGCAGATATACGTGTTGTTGCTGTTAGGGTATTATACTAATAACCACTTACTACACACACACAATTACAGGATCCGCATGAATGTAATTTTAAAATTGCCTATTTCGAACTCCTTAAAAACTGTCAGCCACCGATCCCCTTAAGAATTAACTAAAATTTAAAAATTGCCCCAACCGATGCTAATTAATTTTGTTGATGTATTTAGACGTCATTAAATTTTTTAAATAAGACCTTTGGAAGTATTTAGATAAGTACTTAAATTTGTATCAAGCGTATAGCTATTTCAAGTCGATAAATTGATTTTGAACTAATAACTAAATGACAAGCGCATGAAGGGCATAATGTGCACGATGTGGATGATTTTTGTGGTATATATACACACAAATGATCAATTACGAGAAACACAAAGACGAGCAGTGACCGCAAGGAACATAAAAATTAACTAAGTATACAACTTCTTGAAAATGACACGTTTGAAAGGGCCTTAAATGTGTGCATTATGGCAAATATAAAATGGTACAGTACATTACTAATTACTATAAACGATAAACACGATATAATGACTAGTTTTTGTTAGCTTTAGAAACTTAACATTTTATAACTGTTTTCTTATTGTATACTTGCCTTTCATTACTACTTGAAAGTAATGTTTCAACAATTTAGATGGCACTGGTTGTGGAAATACAGAAACGAAATCCAAAACGGAGTTCTAAACATTTAACATATTTAACACAGTTATTTTTAAAATATTCTCTTACTACTAAGCCACTAAAAGGCAAAAAGACAAAAAATTAATATCAGCATTAAACATTTTTCAGTATCGTTTATTTGATTGTGTTGTTAGGATAATTCAAGTATGGACATTTATTAAACCTTGCCTTACATAAAATGTGATGAAATACCGCGTGGTAAGAACTGGTTGTTTAGAGAGTAAAAAGTTTATCCAAGATGATTGAGGAAAWAATACCCTACACCATTATTTTAAATTAAAAAATTAAAAGATTTGTTGAAAAAAGAATTAGTGTTAACTAAATTAACAACGGTATTACTTTATTTTGGTATGCAATACATATTTTAATTAAATTCAAATGGATGTTTTTTTGGGAACTTCAACAATTTTTAACGTAAAATAGYTTGAATAAATATATTTGATTARGTAGCTCAGTTATTATTTGGTGGTATACTTAACAGCATATTAAACATTTATCTTATACATATTATAGTGTTGCATACTTTGTCAAGTGGTAAGTCGGATCCATCCAATACATCGATAAATCTCTTACAACTCATTAAGATGCTTTCGTTTGCACACAAGTTTCTTAATTTACTAAATGTAGTATCTGGATCCACGATAAATGGGATGAAATCGAATCCATTCAATATTATCTAAAAATAATAATAAAACATTATTTAAAAATAATAATAATAATTCAATATTCACTATTTGAATTTGATTRGATTTTATTTAGTTAACATATTTTTAAATGYTTTTATTMATTATTTACGATTGGATCGTAATAWATAGCCATATAGGTAGATGCATATAGATAAGTAAAGTATRTTCTTAATTTTAAAAATGCATGTATGCATATATTCACATTAGTTTTAATTTGTTGTATTATAATATATTATKAAATTACCAACAAAATGTCTGAAAATTGTTTAACAATAGCAGTGACTGGTGATGTTTTAAAATTAGTCGCTGGGGCAATGAGTGCAAGTTTGTTAATCTTAGCGTTGTATTCTGGCTTATCGGACAAGCAAACAAAGGCTACAGTTGCCCCTAAAGAGTAACCAACAACGTCCAGTCTAGGATATTCCGATTTTTTCAGAATGAAATCTATAACTGCAGTCAAATCGTATACACCCAATTCGTGAAAACTATAAAATTAAACAGGAAAAATACATTTTTAATCACCTAGGGATGGTGGAATTTTTAATATATGATAATATTCATTATAGTATTAGCGTGATGAAGTGATGAAATATATAGGTACTAGATAGATACAGCATTGAATCTGAAATATATTGATTCATAATAATTATGTATACACACAATTGTAAAAAAATATGGAATAATATTATAGGTGGTAGTAATAAAAGGATACACGTTTGTTTGTCTCATGAATATTTTTATTTACTGGTTGATTTGAAAAGTTAATAGTAAATAAACTTATCAAACCAATCCAAGATTTTAAATTAAAATTTAGATTAAAATTAAGACTGAAAAAACAAAACATCTCAATTTCAAGRTTTAAGTTTAAACGTATTGTAATAATTTTGATTTCATAGAATTTAAAAAAAAAAATAACATAGGTATCATGATTTAGTAAAATGTATACAAAATCTGTTAGGCACCTATAGTTCCACGATACTCTATTCATGTTTGGAAGTGATCGAGGTCCCTTATAAATACTGAGTGTTCTTGAAAGACCCGCGCCTCTGGAATTGTATAACCAAACGTCAAAACCGGCATCCGACAATACAAAACCTGAAGTCAAACAATTGTCTTTGTTCTAATCTTCTACTATGATAATAATAGGAGAATACAATGATGAATTATTATTAGTGAAGTATGTGTCATACAAACACATTGTTGAGTATACTAAAATAGTATGTCAGTACTATAAATCTGTAACATCCGTCAGTTTATAATGTATTATAAAAGTAAT